AACTTAAAACTACGGTTCTTTGCACCAGACGAAATATGAAAACTAAGATTTGGCGCTTATAACGCATTTCTCTGAACAAATTAGGTCATCGGTGATGTTTAGGTCGTGGTTATTCTTTCGATTTTGCTTTTGTTTCCAAGTTATACTGTCATACGGTCCAAAATTCGCAGCTAGCCTAATACGTCTTCCATCCTAATTTAAACGAAACTTCCCGCATAACTTGGAAACGAAAGCAACATCAAAAAAATAATCATGACTAAAACATGAACATTAGGTCCTAACGAAGACGTGTGCAAAGTTCCATCGAGCTGCGTTCATTAGTCTAGACTGTAGAAGATGTTTCATGTTCAGTTGTTCACTGAAAATTTGACAATCGACCACTGAAATGCCGGTCGCTATATAACTCGCGACTAAGCCTTAATTGAAAATTTATTGCACGATCTAAACATCACCGTCAAATGGGTAGGAATTTACATTCGAAGGTTCGTTCAAATCTGTTCAGTGCTTAAAAAAAATTGACGTTCACAGCTAATTTCAGCCCGTATAAGTTGGAAACCGAGGCGAAATCTAAAAAATAATCACGACTCAAACATGACCTTTAGGTCCTAATAAACGCAAGTAAAAAGTTCATCGAGGTGCGTTCATTAGAGGGGAAGCGCAGCTGTGCACCACCAATTTTGTGCACCAATAAGCCCTGAATCGAACGACTTGGATCTCTCCGGACATCCACCAATCAGCCGTGAACCACTCGGCTTTGTCTTCCTCCGGCCTCGCATAGAACTTGCCGTGCACCACCAGGCCGCGGATCGAATCTGACTTCCGCGCATCGTTAAATTACGTAATTTTACGTTCACCGCATCTGAGGTTAGGTTTCAGATAGCATAGTTCTGTTCCAAAATTCATCGACCTTCGACAAGTGGCCGTTCGACCGAGGGCTGGTTAGACCAGGCAGGTTTTATGCAAGGCCGGAGGAGGACAAAGCCGAGTGGTTCACGGCTGATTGGGGGATGTCCGGAGAGATCAAAGGCGTTCGATTCAGGGTTTATTGGTGCACAAAATTGGTGGTGCACGGCTGCGCTCCCGTTAGGGGTATTTTTCATGTTCAGTGAATCTTTAAGATCGGCCTGAGAATTGCCCGAGATGTTGTCCCTATATCGCAACAAGGCGTCCGAATTCTTGTTAAACAAGATTCATTGAAAGATTGGTATAAATTAATAGCTAGAAATATCAAATATGAAGGTCAGCCAATAATTAAAATAGAATTATAATTAAAAACTTTAGGTATATATATCAGTTAAAAAGAAAGTAACTGAATTTGGTTTGAAGTTTTAATAATTCTTATTTCTTAGGCATATGGCATATGTTCAACCTAACCTGCACCAATGAATCTCCCATTATATGTTTCGCAGAGAACGATAAAATTTAACCGGGAGGTTAAATTTGATCATAATAGTTAAAAGCGTGATTAACCAGAGGCAGTTTTCGAAATAGTACCTATTACTGGCTACAGGAGTTTGAACTAATACCCGTACTTCGTTCACATCGACTACCGTGGCAGTCACCGACCGCCGTTTGGCTGGCCTCAGAGATGTGAGGAGTTGAGCGGCGTTTCGTCCTCTGCGCGTCATGAATATCCCTATTAGAGTCTCTCAATACAAAAACAAGTATCGAGATAATACTTTTTAAAATTAATTATCAACCTGGAAATAAACTCCAACATCACACGTGCAATAATCCTCATCAATATCAGTTTATCAGAATGCACAGGAGAGTTAGTAGATAAGAGGCAACTGAAAATTTATTTGGTTATTTAGTCATAAATCTCAGCGTAATCCTTTGTCTACGGCTGCATTAACCGTCATCAACGCTATTCGTAAGGACCTAAAGGCCTAGAAACGAAAGCTTCGGGACTCGACAAGGACTCACGAGTCGAATTAGTGTGCAAATATAAGTAAAGGGCGACGTGTGATACTGATAAGGCTGCCTGTGTCCGCGACATGCAGCGCTTAAAACTAACTTCGATTTCGAACATGAAGCTTCTTTTATAACATTTATAATATGCAATGTGCAATATGGTTACAGCTTCTTATGACTATAAACTGTGATACAATGGTGACGCTTTACTTGCCAGATTAACTTTTGTAAAAAGTTAAAAAAAAAAAGTAAAAAGCTAGACACAGTTAGACTTGGCACCTCTTACAGAACTAAACTCACTGTTTCAGCGGAAAAATAAACTTTTGCTTCGACGAAACTATAATATCAGCAATCCTGTCGTTCCAAAATGAATGGATCAAAGTTCATTGATGCCTAAGGAAGAAATAACACTGAATGGAAGTAGGCTAGTGAACTGTATTAACTTTTGTTGGCTTAGACGACGCGAGAGGTGGGAAACCGAGTTTTTTTCGATTTTCAACAACTAAATCTCAATTCACTTTTTTTTGTAAACGGAAATTATATGGAAATGTGACAAAGCCGATTACCATATGGATTCCTAATTTGCATAATTATTTCATTAACAACACTGAAAAATTGCAATTGAAATTTTGTTAATTACCGTGCTCAAGTCCTGACAATAGCCTCAATTGTCGCAGTTTCCATTGAATAATCTCGGCTCGGAAAACCTAGGTATATAGGATGCCTGCAACGTGCGTTATCAGCTCAACTTTGACTAGGTTAACACGCTCACAAATGATTAAGTATAAGAACACACTGTATGAATGCAGCATCACAATTTTGGAAAGCGTTCACATTGTGCCAAAAGTCAATCATCAACGACAGCTGAACATCGTTCCTGCCGACATGACAGCTGGCTCGCGACTGGAGTCTGGCCAAAGGGCAAGGGAAGCGTCATTAGGGTGATTCGAATTCGCGATTCAACTACAATGGTCAAATACAAGGGTGATCAAAATGTTAAGAAATATTTTATGTACATACTTTTAGCTGCGATAAAATAAATCTCCAACTCCATTTTTTAGATGAAATGTTTCATATGAGGATAATTTGAACAAAAAGTCTCAAATTGAGAACAAATTTACGCCGCGAGACCGGCCGCAAGTCCATCCGTAAATTTGTCGTACAAATGAGTGAAATGACAACGATTTTCTAGTGGAGAATTGTGCGAAAGTAGACACAGTTGAACAATATTTTGTATGGATGTTTGTAGGTGGTTTAGGGGTTTACCCTCTTAAAGTGTTAACGGCTAAAAACCCATTTTCCCAACGTAAGAAAAGAAATCGTGTAGGAATAAATAATTTGGTATTCTGGTCAAGTTCGCTATTTAGATACGAAAAATGAGAATTTTAGTTATAATTCACGGTCAGGGTGACATCAGTAGCTGGGATCTGTTCTCAGTGATGGTCCGGGGTGAGCCACCAGAGCTGAGCCGCAGCGAGGCGCCGCCCCCAAAAGACGTAAGAGGTTCACCGCATTCTTGCGGCGACTCTTTTGGCTGTTGCAGGCCACGGCGCCACGCGGCGAGAGCGACGGTGGCCGGTGAATGGTAGCGCCCAATTCTTGAGGAGTTGGGGCGCTGCCTTCACCTTGCTACTGCTTTGCTCTTGGGGGAAGGGTAGGGGGTCCTTAGGGACCCAAAAAATAAAACACCTACCTGCAGCGTAGGCTAGAATCATTGATCAATCCCAGTTGCGACATGTGGCCTACGTGAGGTCATTTACGAAACATTCAAGATATCATAATTGTCTTACCGTCAATCTGGTTTGCCTCGGAACTACCAGTTCCGTGAAGTCACGGATGGACGGACGGACATGCGCTCTCTGTCACTCACTGCAGTGAGTACTGATCTAATTTTTTTCTTTACACCGTTTAATTTTTAATTGACTAATCAAGTTGATCTGGTTGGCAAGTTGGCATACAAAGATATTTTTCATTTTTCTATCTTTATCTCTTCAAATAAACTGCCATTGACCCACATCTGGTTAAATACTGTTATACTGAGAAGTATTTTTTATATACAAATTATTTAAACAGAACGGCAAGCAATAAATTACTAATAATAGGAGATATATCAAAACGGCTAAGAGGTGGTATTATTGCCGTATGTACAGAATAAAATAATATTTTCCCGCCAATTATTGGTTCCCTGCGTTGCGCGCAAACTCTTGAATACCGGCCAATTTCAACGATGAACATAAGCGCCTTAGAATTTTTTACAATAAAATGAGAGACACGACACCAGCAAGAAATTAAAACATCATAACTTACACAATCTTTCAATAAGACGTGCAATGTAAAACGACCAATTACATTCATAAATTCTGAATGAAAACTTCAATATGGTGTTCATTGATGAAACGTGCTACTCATACAGCTAGTTTACCAGTCAAATTCTCTTTAAATAACAGTAGTAAATTCATTCATGTCTATCTAGTATCTGCAAGCTAATTTCACCAGCCATCAGGTGAAACCTGCTTGCAATGTAGGTAATGTCCAGAGATTAATACGATACCAAAAATTTCTTTAATTTTAGACGAAATGCGATAAACGTCTAAGCCCTGTGATGACCGTAATGTCTTTGCAGCATGACATCACTACAGAGTTGAGTTCATCACTGACTAAACATGGCGGTGCGTAGTGCGTACGAGACGAGTGCTAGCAACAGTGCCGGTGTTGCCATACACTTGAAAATACCTTCAAAATATCGAAGAAATTGCAACTATTAAAATTTTCTCAATAACAAAAAAATTCATGAAACTTGATTTCAAAATTATTGAAGAGTATTTTTTTATGGAAATTATGATAAGAACCTGCAAAACTCTGCGATACACGAAAATTCAATTGTGGCATTTTGCAGTCAGTTGCAGTAGGTGATCAAATAGTTATATTTTTGCCTCTTTTATATCATTTTTATATGAAACTATCAGAGGTAAGAAAAGAATTTTTTTAATCATTCATAATTAAAAAAACGGGTAGGTGTAGTGAAATCGAGGAATTCGCCTAGGAATATGGCAACACTAAATAATACTACCGCAGTCTTGACCGGGGCGTGCGTTTGGAAGTATCACGTTGTGTCGGCGTCCTTTCTTGACTGAAATTTGAGATACGTTGATCGAAACCTTCTGAAGATGGGTTGTGAAGACGAAGTGATGAAGATCAAGAAGAAGCTCGACAAGATGACTGGACCCACTGGGGTATGTCTTTTCGTGTAGTAAATCGAGTTCACGTCATCATTATTGATTGCTGCTTCGTTACTCTTGAGTCTCTTGGTCATCTTCGTTACCTACCTAATTGTTGTTCTATCAAAGTAGGTAATGTTAGTATAGTGGTATAGGCGTGCCAAGTTGGCTTGTCGCCGAATCATGTAATGTTCTTGACTTAAATCTCTTCTTATGTTTTTGACTTGTATGTAATGTCGCGCTGGTCTTGTAGAATTTTTTTGTGTATTGGCTGTAAGTGTAGCCTGAAGTTCTGGATGGTTCATGGTTGGACCAAAAGCTAGACTGCCACTGCTAGAGCCGCAGACTACTAGTACCTACTAATAGAAGATAAAGAGTGGAAAGAAAATAATTATAAAGTGTGGCACAGTCACTCAGTTCACATGGTGTCACATCACTCACATGATCACATCATCACTCACATGCTCACAGTCACAGCCTCACACCTGTAAAGAAAGTGGACAGAAATGAACTATTCCTGCTTCTATAATCTAGATCATGCCAAATTTGTTTTGCCAGACTTTGCTTTCTGTTTAATTCAATAGACCAGTGCATTAGTTTCATAATATTTTAAGTTTGAAAGCCATAGTCTGCAATTGAGATTTTTCTAGGAATATTGAAAAAATTTCATTCCCCTCATGATTTTTGAAGTTAGAATTGGAATGTGGGTGTGTGCCGATATGATGATATCCAGTAAAGACCTTTAGTCAATCAGGCTGCATAAAGAATCTTTAACAGGCATAAAATTTTTTTTGAAGTGCATGTTGCACTTGGCAATTGGAAAAAGTTTATTAATAAGTATTTACCACAGTCCCAAATGACTAAAACATTTGGTTATATCATATGAGTCAACATCCTGAAACACAGAAACAATGTTTGACATTTAGCACGGTCACCTTTGCCTTACCTCCCTCAACCTCCACACATTCTTCAAATATCACTTCAGTGTCTTCACACTCTCAAAAATAGCTACAGTTGCTCCCTCAGATAGACTCACAATCATTGCCATCTACTCTTTTTGTGTTCTCTCTTACCCTACTTAGATAATCTTACCTCCCTCATTCAGAATGACCTCCATCATAGACTGTTGCTCTCTCTCATATGCTCCACATTCCATTAACAAGTGATCCACACTGAGGAAATTAGAAAGGAACTGATTCTAAAAAATCTCTGGTTTGTCACTATGATCCACAGTTTCCTTCTTGTTGTTGTTGTTTCTTGCGCCAAAAACGTCACGCTGGCGTGGGCGGAGGCTCTGGTGGTGGTCGGAGGGGAGGCGCCGGAAGAGGGGGAAGATGGGCAAAAGCAGGGAGGGTGACCAGGAACGTCGCCGCCTCCACGGGGTTGTCCCACAAAGATGAGACGCTGAGGGACGTGGGGAAGGCGGGGCAGGCGAAACGTACCAATGCATGTTATCTACTTGCCCATTTGCTCACCTTAATGTTCCACATATACATCTTATATTCCCAACATTCATCATTCATTTACTCCAGTCTTAATTTATACTGCAAAACTTATCTCATTCTTCTCTCTTTAAAGGTACGTCATCCATGTTCCCTCTCAGGGCCTCCACTGCAGTTCTTGTGGAGGCTTCTAGTGCCAATCTCACCACTCTATTTTGTACCATTTCCAGTTTATCCAGCTCACCATCACTATATGCTATCACATCCAAACACCTAACAAACCCCATCTTCCTGATATTGTTTTCAAAACATAAGTATTTTAAATGGTATGTTATGCTAATCTCAAGGAAAATAAATTTTCTTCTTTATGTACCTCCATTACTCTTTTATTTTGCCTCGAAACTGTTCAATCAGTTCTGCCCCACCCTGTATAAGCTAGCTAACACATTTAAATTGTATAATGTAATCAATGTATAACAAATAGTCAAATAGGTAAAGACTAGGTACTTATTGCTTTATAAGAATTAGCTAAGCTGCTAGCTACGTACAATGTACCGTATTGCACACTTGATGCTTCTGTACCAAAAAAATTCAACTTATTGGAATCTAATACACACTAAAGGCAACAAGTTTATATACCAATTTGTCATTCATAGTACATTTTTTTACTAAACCATGAATAACAATACCTCAATATAAATTAAAGACTGCCACTCAATATATTTAATTATATGGAAAAATCAAAAAAATAAAAAAATCACAATTTTTTATAAAAAAATCAAGTGATTTAATCACATGATTTAATCATTGCCAACCCTGAAGCACAATCATCATAATCACAGCATCATCAGCATACAGAAACCTTTTTAATCTTTCACTGTCTTTATGCACATCCATTCTCCTCACCCTTCTATAGTAGTATAGTACAAGTACAATATCTTCGGCATTGAAGAATAGGCCTGTCGCTGATTCTTGTAGGTACTCTTCTTGACTAGACTGGCCTTTTGATCAAGCCATCTCTTCTGTATAACGATTGAAGAGAAGCAGAGAATGGATGCATCCTTGTTGTATGCCCATCCTGCTCCTCTTCCAGTCCATCTCCACATCGGCCAGTCTATATTTTGCTCTAGTATCATATACATACTTCTCACAAGCCTTACATATTTTTCACTCATTCCAATTTTTCCCAGTGTTTGACGCAAAAGTGATATTTTTTGTTACTTTTCAGGACCAAACGCTGGCTTTGGACCACCTGAAAGTTCTGAAGGATCTTCCCATCAACTTGACAGTAAGTGTTTCTCACTGCATTTCAGGTAGCCAATCTAACTTCTGCATAATCCATACGTACTTAATTGTATATGTTACAAGCTTATTGGGAGCATATCTGTTAAAGGAACTTCTTTAAGAAGTGGAACTAACAAAAGAAAGGGAATTTATAGGGAACTTGCTCATAAAGCTATATCAAGATCTAGTTTATAAAATAACGAAATTACCTGCATTTTAAATGAAGCAATAGAGTTGCTATCAGCCATATTTCTGGTGAAGCAGTTCAAATATTCTGATTCAAGTTATTTTCCTTGCTACTTATCAAGAACAATTAAATTATATGTACTATCATATTCTTGTATTTTCAGATCTTGACTGAAACAAGGATTGGCATGACAGTGAATGCCCTACGGAAGGCATCTCAGGATCAGGAAGTCATTGGCATCGCCAAGCAACTCATCAAAAAGTGGAAGAAGTTTGTTCCTGGTGAGCTTCTAGTGTAATGTTCTGTCATCTGTGCCATAGTACAACAGATAATTTTGATCAAAATTCCATGTGATTTATGTATTTTTGTCTACAGACACTCTCTGGACAAAAAAACACTCTCTAGAAAAACTCTAGTTGCTATAGTTTTTCAGAGGGTAGTGTACTGAACATATTTAAGGAATCTTTTTTTAAGAAGGAAGTACTTCAAGAGAACTTCAACTAAATTTTAAATGACAATTTTACCCTCACTAATTTTTTGTAAAGAAATATTTCTCCTTGCTTGTAAGCTGATTAAGACTTTGCTTTTGTTTCTTATCAACTTTTTTCCAACAAAAAGCTAAATTGATGTTGAGGCTTCTGTGCCTCATGTTGTTAATTTGATAAAACCACTTCAATTTGAGATATTTGTTTCTGCTGCAGAAATATTTACTAATAACCTAATGTATGCAATTATCAAAGTGTGAGGCCTCATTAACTCTCCCATTCTCCATTACTCATAGTAGATAACTGTTCAGCTCCCAGGAAAAGATATATTACTAACAAAAAGTCTACATAATTTATTTGAGCACAACAGCAAATCAATCTTATAATCTAATGCATTAATATTAACATATGTATTGTATAAACGTTTCAGTACTTTCCCGTAAATTTATTATAGGCTTGTGTCACTGGTGGCTACGCTCTCAGACATAATAGCTAAGGTAGTTGTTCATCCCAAGCGCCAAGTAACATTTTAATTACACTTCTCTAGCCAAATATATAATTTCTCTGTTACGATTTATTATAATTTCATCAGGGAAGAATTGATGTCATGAAATTAGAGGTACTTGCAATGGCAGGTAATTATGAAGACACTTTATTCTGCTGGGCCAAAAGAAACTGGGTTGGAGTAGATGTTGGTATAGTAGTTGCTGTAGTCCTGGACAACCGTGCCTCTGTTGAGAAAATGATTTTTAAAACATTTATTTCAGAAAAATTTCCAGTTTCATGTAAAGACACCCTACTATTTATAAAAATGTTCTTACTGAATTAATGTGTTAGAGTGGAGTGTCACATCATTCATATATTTGTTTCTGCTCTAGTTCATCTGCACTTCTTGGAAATTTTTTGCTTTCACTGCTTCATGATTTTCACCCTGTGATTTTGCTGTAATTAATTAAACACGATCGTCATATAAACCTTTGTTATTTGAGTCTATTTCGTGTACAAATCTTATTTTTTACCTATGAAAAGCTTCTGTGTGAAAGCAAGTCCATGATTTTAATAGTATCTGCATAGCAACACACTTCTATGACATTCTGCAACCGTGTAGGTTCAGTCTAGACATATTAGCCACTATCTTAACTCCTTTTTTACTGCATGTTCCTTCTCACGGTTAGTTAACTAGTTTATTGTGCGTTAGTCTAGTTAATTGTGCGTCAGTCTTTCGGAATATGACGTTGTCTAGCTACTGACCGCTTAGCTTTAAACGTGAAGTACCTGAAATAAACGATTCCCGCAGCATCAGGAGGCGCCACCCATTGCACGGTGATGTTCCGTACAACGTTTGAGCTGCTGTGCGTCGCCGTGTCGCGTGCCTGATGTGCAACAATTTCATATTAATCATGTTGTCATAGGGTGCATAAATCGTTTTCAATGTTATTTCCACATAAATAGACCTGCGGCCAAACCATCGAATATAGTTGAGAGTTTGTAACTCCGTCAGCCGATCACTGACGGCTTTTTATTCTAAAACCCACCAATCACAGACAAAAAATCGGCCTCGTCTTGTAGTAAAGCGAGATTTGTTAGTGCGGCCTTTGACAGCGATACATACGTTGAGATGAGATGGTTTAGTGTTAACTTTAACTCAATCCAATAAAAAGCTGATGCGTTATTCGCGTGACACTAACTAGTATCAACTTGAACAAGAGAAGATAATGCGATGTGTCAGGGAGGGAAGGCCTTGAGCTTGCATTTGTGTAGTCTTCCTGGAACTCGACAAATAATTGCTTGCGATTGTAGCACAGAATCACGGTAAGGTTCACTCCCCGGTGAACAAAGTTGCTTAGCTCCTTGAACGCCTCGGAGTCGTGGTGATGTCAAATGACTCACCTGAGTCTGCGGGTTGCAAGAGAGGCCGGAGGTGGTGAAGGTGCCAACCACTTGTCCTTTAGGTGTCACCGCTTGGATCATATACCCCTTGAAGTCAGCGCCGCTCAGCTCAACTGGAAACAGCGTCGGGCGTATTAGTTAATTCTCATGTGTTTCGCCATGCCTACTGGCGGTTATTATAGTTTATTAGACTTTGACTGCTACGTTACGTTCTTAGTCGGTACTCTATGTGCCACTCTGAGTTGTTAGTATGTTCTTCAAAATCAATGAGAAGTCGCACCTGTTAACACAGTTGTTAGGTGACAATGCTTTATGTCACCTGCAGAGATTTGTGATTATGACATGAAATACACTTCGCAGAGCATGATTTAGTTAAACCTGTGCTGTGCTACGTGAAAAATATTGGGAGAGTCACTCCATGTCGGTGCTGAATTGCTGAGGCAAGTAGCAAGAAGTGCTGTCTTATAGAATTAAAGAATAAGCAAAATATAAAATGGTGTTTAAGAGACAGAACAAGTTCTATGTACCATTTAGTGTATAGTTCCAGTTCGCTGAGCTTGAATCCTCCCTGTTGTTACTAATGATGTTACAATTATCAAGTTTATAACAAATACCCTACAGTCCAAAATCAGCAGTATCTGTGATAATGTCTGCCAGGTTAACCTGGACAGTTTGCAGCAGTTACATGTACTGGTTTTTGATCACACAACATGAGAAAATTAATACCAGAGCACATAAAATTCAAACCTGTCTCCGAAAGTAAACGCCAATGCCACTTCTGCTGATATTTGTGTGCTGCTGAAGCTGTTCTCAAGCAAGATATTCTCTTGGAGCATTTTCAGAAAATGCACCTTGACAATGCACCTTGACAATGCACCTTGAAAATGCATAACCTTGACAATTTACAGCAGTTACCTGTGATGATGTCTGCCAGGTTAACCTTGCAGCAGTTACCTGTGATGGTGTCTGAGGGGTTCGCCTTGCTGGGCGCTGAGAGGCTGTACGGATTGGGCGCTGGGTTCCTCCTGGCGCCGCTGTGCCCCAGAGGTTCCATGGTGTCACAGGCCCCTTGGGGCGCTCCCCTGCTGTAGGCCGAGCACGTGAGCGCCAGGGCGCCGAACAGCGCCATCACCAACAGGCATCTGCGGTCATACATTTTATTAGTTTTGTGTGTGCGAATACTACGCGGCAACTGCAGAATACACTTGAAATTCTGATCAGAATACCGCGGTGCAAACTGGAATCTTGCATGCGCATGGCCGCGCAGACGCGAGCTTAAGCAGACTCCGTGCGTATAGCAGCTACTATCAATGTCTCTAGACTCGCCGGTTGTCTGTAACAACCGTAAAATACTGGTCAAATCTAAGATTTGTAGGGTTTGATTACCACACATTCACTACTGAACTGTTTAGATTTCACTGGAAAATTGAGGTTCAGTTTTATTTTTTAAATTGATCGTTGTTGTGGATGGCCGGCGACTGGAGTGCTTCGGCGACATTAGTGGCTTTGACATCAGCGCGCTATGTCTCACAGTGCACACTTTTATCTGTAAGCGGGATGAGCCGGGGCACCTCTGGGTGATGCACGGACTTTTCGGGATAAATCTCTTGAGTGTACACGGTTTTGTTTGCCCCCTATTATGTTGTGATTGTCAATTTTTTCTGTCATCGAACGAAATCTCGGTAAAAGGACTACATGCATGTCTGTGCATTCTTGGCTGATTATTTAGTTCATCTTGAAACTCTAAAGGAATTAACTTCCATAATTAGAGGGAAGAAACTAATATTTCTATCTCTAACGTTGCGAAACTCACTTCATCATGATGCTGGAATTTCTCCGTCTCGTCACTTGCGGAAAGAAATGGTAGCAGTCAGACTCCACCACAGTGCAGCGTAGCTCTGACACGACCTTATTCCTCAGTGTCTAGCTTGCGACTAAGCGTCGCTTGAACTGCGCTCGTCATTCGTACAGGACTTGGAATTTTTTTACCTAACGCGCAGCTTCAATAAAAAAATCGTTCCCTAAAAATGGTCATTTGTGATCATGAAGTCATAACGGAGTAATATTTTCGAAGGGCATCGCCGTGTTGTGTATAGTGCCAATTGTGAATATTAATTATACCGTTATTTTTTGCCAGTTCAAATCAACGTTTAGGTACAGTATTTATCGAAAAAATAATCTCAATATTGGATTCTTGCCTTGTAAATGAATATACATTCATTTTTTATTCGAGTCACTGGAATCTGATAACCGCATGCAGTGCATCATAACTGCCGCAGTTAACAGAATCGTGCCTAAGCTGTGGTGTAGCTGACGTCAAGTTGAACGCGACTTCCTACGATAATAATTATTGCTCTGCAATGCATGCAAATCAATGCAAAAGCCGACCAGAAAATGCAATCCTTCGATATTTGGAAGTGTGAGCCTCTATTTGAGGAAGGTATATAACGGTATCATTGAACTGTACGATTCTTTTTGTATAAGATAGTGTGCTCTTTATTTGTCGTTTCGCCTTGATTAAGGAAACCAGAGGGGCGTAATTTCTACTTCTAATATTCTCTAATGCATCGTAATTTGTATAGTGTTCCGCTGACAAGCCCAAATCTATATCTTGCTCGCCTCTATTAACTTAAGCGAAATGCTTGCCCTCTCTGCTGCCTGATAACGTATTGTTACGTGCTCGCTGTTAGCCTATTAATTAACTTATATTCATCAGATTTCCACTTTTATTTGAAAAAAAATCCCGCATTGCTCTCGTGTATTAGCCAGCCTAAACATATTCTCTTAGTTTTATTCATTTATTTAAGCGTGGCACTAGTAATTTGGTAATTTGTCTTGACCAGTTTGCGCGGCCGCTTCTTGAGGCGGCCTTCATACATGCGCGAGGTTGACCTTGACGAGCTGAGCGCAGCTCTGCTATTCCGAGAACCTCTTCCCCGTCCCTCTCTATCCAGGAAATGCGCGAATTTTGCTGTTCTCGTGCGCTGATGAACGGTACTTCTGGGAGATTTTACTGTTGTTCGTTGCCGCTGAAAATCTTTTACTTGTTTATGTGATGGCGCTGTGACGTTTTTGCTCGCATGTTGCCTTAACTTACGAGAAAATGTCTCGAGTTTTCTTGCGTGCCGCTGGAGAAGGAGAAAGAACGTGCAACATTGTCGACACGAGATTTTCGCTTCGCGAAACCTTATCCGCACAAAACCCCTTCAGCAGAAAGGACTCTCCTCCTTCTGAACTCTCCCTTAATGCGTCGTCTCGACAATTATATCCAAGGCTCGTAAACTGTGAAGTTCTTAACATGCTGGGGCAATGCATCAATTTTCCGGGAAATATACATGGGCGGAAATAACCAGTGTGCCAATCTAGCCTTTAATAATCAATAGTTGAAATATATTTATAGGGAAATAGATACATGGTGTAGCGTGTTGAAGATGCTAAGAAGGTGAATAAGGAGCCAGAGTGATAGTCGTTTGCGGCGATCCCCCTGCTCCCTGACTATCAATCATTTGCTCGGTCCTAACCTGACATATGCAACGAGGCGGCTAAATTTCATGGCATTGATGCTCGGATGTACGAACCTCTTCCCTCTCGGCAAATGATGTTGAAGTAACGTTGATTACCAATTTATTTCGTTGAAACTACGTTTAATCAACGTTGTTTCCATGTCAGCTACTTGGTTCGTGTATCACGAGCCGTACGCCTTTCCCACTTGCTACTCCGCTGCCTGTTCACGCAACCGTCTTTTTACGCTGTAGAAGTCTAATACTTATTTTGAACTATTCGTCATTTTTCTGTTAATGAAGCAAAATCATTTCGCAATGTGTTAAATCAAAACATGGAATGCTTCTAATTTTGGTTTCTGAATTTGTTGCGAGTCTTGGTGAACTATTCTGCATCTGCCTGTCAGTTGCCTTACCTGTAAACAGCTCGATCGGAAGAAGAGATTGTATTCCGGACGTTTTCTGCATTCGTAGGTACTATTTTTAGTGATTTTAATGGATAAAAAATTGCAGTCAGGCCTTAGCCTTGGAGAGTATTTTCTTGCTTGTAAATTGCTATCGTTGGGCCAGACTGCGCGAATGTCAGCGTGCTTGCAATCACAAGCAAGAGATCTACCAGTCTGATTTATTTTAAGAAGATTGTGTTACTATCTTCAAAGAAGAGCTAACGTAATTTCCTAGTAGAACAGTCTGTCCTTGTTGAACTGCCCTTTGAATTCAGAAAAACACTCGGTGTGATCGCACGTTTCTTTTGGTACGCAAGCTCTTTCTTCGATGTTTTATGTGCCGAAAATTAGAAAACGAACTCACCTGAGCCTATAATGTTGGATGTGAGACTTGACCGAGGAGTACGAGACTTGCACTCTACTGATTCTAGAGTGTAAGCCGTTTGACTCCAGGTCAACGAACCCAATTACGAATAACACTGATTGTAGAGTGTAGGCCGTTTGACTCCAGGTCAACGAACTCAATTACGAATAACACTGATTGTAGAGTTTGAGCCATTTGACTCGAAGACAACTAACTCGAGTGAGGTGCAGTACGTGCCTCGCATAAATTAAGTTGCTCGCCTCATCAGTTGCGACGTCAACATCATTACATTACGCGATTGAGACTGGAAAGTTTGTAGTAGAAAGTTTGTAACTTCACTGGCTTGGACGTTTATCACTTGCATTTGCCTTAGATTTTATTCAAATTTTTTATGTAATGTATACCACTACTTTGTACTACTACATTGAAATGAATTTTGTCTCTAAAGTGCTCCCATACTGTACTGGTCGGATACTTTGTGTTTAGAAAGGTAATTATTAGGCATTCGCCTGATTTCTCTTTCAGCTACGTTGTCAGCATACTGATGAATAAGTTCTTGTTCCTGGTAAATTTGCATGACATCATTATTTCGTTGCGCCAGTTTCTGATGTAATTCACGTTTACTGCGTTCGTCTCGCGTTTGATTCTCGTTTGTCCGGCGGGAGTGCAAGCACGGCTGAAGCGTTGGTTCGGCGGGAGTGCAAGCACGGCTGAAGCGTTGGTTCGGAGGGAGTGCAAGCACGTCTGATGTGTTTACTTTGTTTGCAGGTGACAAGCAGAGCGACGACGACAAAGACGTGAAGGAAGACTCCAAGAAATCCAAAGACAACGACGCCAAGGCGGGCAGCGACAGCAGCAACGGCAGCGGTCCTGGGTTGGTGATTACGCGTATTTTGGTCCGATTTATGTTGAGTGTCTGAGCTTAAGGAGAGCTGCTTAACTAAAAAATTGTAGGGACAAATTTAGCTGGTGTACGCTGAGGGTACAGGAGTGTAGTGTTAATAAATTGGCAGAAGGTGGAATTGATGATTATGGCTCTAATGTTGAGTGGTGGTAACGAATGTGAGGGAACTTATTATATTAGAGTGCATCGGGTAAGAGACGAGAGGTGCCGAGGGGGATCGAGCTGTAGGAGGAGCTACTGTTGAGGTTAGGGCGCTGGTGTAGGATTATCAGCAGGGAAAAAGTGGAGAACCGCTCCAGGAGCACGGACCAACCAGGTGGAAGGGGAAGATGAAGGTGGGAGTAGATGAGGTTGAGGGAACGGACGGCATGAAATTGCAGACTATGGGGAGAAGGTAGACTAAGAGGATGTGACAGGAGTGGTGAGGCTGGGAAGAGTGGGAGTAGGAGGGAAGTGAAGTGGCATCAGCAGCCATCTCGCATTTCTTCATGATTTGTCGGCTAGGGAGATGACGGGCCGCTTTTTAACGTTCGCTTCTCAGTATGTTTTGCTTCTTCACTTGATCATCTGGTCGCAATTTCAGTTACATCTATTCACTAAATGAATTAAGAGGTATTTGTTTAAAACTAAATTAACATTTAGATTTTCTCTCGGAACCTTATCTGCTGCCCATATGAAAAAAAATTGAAATTCTCATGGAATCTTTCTGACCTTCTTGAGTTCTAGCCCATTAAGTTGCTGTTTTGGCATCGTTGTTTCGTATTGACGAAAAATATTTTTCAGCAAATTTTGGATGCGTCCAGACGTGAACAAATTCATCTAGCTTGTTAATATTTACCAAATTTTGATTCTTTATCGCCATTTCTAAGTGAATGAATACTCTAGCTCGAGTAAAAACGGGTCGAGCAAAGGAGGCGAGGGCTCGCACAGCCTGCCCCCCGGCCTGACAAGCAACAACGTGTCAGCCTCGCTGCACACAACGGACGCTCTGCGCCTCAAGTGCCGCGAGATGCTCGGCAGCGCCTTGCAGGGCTCCGGCGACATGCCTGATGGCGTCGTCGCCATGCCAGAGTCTCTGGCCGAGCAGCTCGAGGACGCTATTTACGCCGAGTTTAAGAACACCAACGCACAGTACAAGACGCGTATACGCTCGCGTGTATACAACCTCAAGGATGCCAAGAATCCCGAGCTTCGCATTAATGTTCTCACAGGCGTTATATCTCCCAAGAAGCTCGCAGTTATGACATCTGAGGTAAGCCCTAAAACCCTAAAAGATTGTCATTTGATTAAATTGAGCCCACGAATTCCTGTCCTTGTTAATTAAATGGATTCGTTTATCTAAGTGTACTTTAAAACTAACGTTGGTTATTTTAAAGAGACATGAGTTGCTTGCATCGTTATTGAAATTATCGATGATGTCTTGATATTTTTTGTTGCAACCAACCCAAAATATTTCCGTATATTTTGTACTCTGATCTTCAAGATGCTGAAAATTCTTGAATTTAGTAGAGTCCGTGCTGACGGTCAATTTCTATCCAAAATAATCTCGTTTAATAACTCGTGTTTTTGATAACGCGGGCCTGGCTCCCAATTTCTTTTACATGAACTTTGCTTACGATCTTGAAATTCTTTCGAAAAAATTTGTTCTCCTTGTTTGCTAGGGGGCTGTGCACAAATAGCCGCGCGTCAGTCTCGAGTTGAACATTGACTTGAGAAGTGAATGTACATTGCCTTGACATGTCAGTGCTCATCAACTTGTAATTGACTGGGCAAGTGTGGTCTATGTACTGATGCGTTAAAATGTCCGAAAGGAGCTTTAATTAATTTGTTGTTTAAAAATCTCGTATTTGTTTTGTTTGTGAAGCTATAATGTTGACTTTGAGCAGGAGATGGCGAGCAAAGATATGCAGGCGCTGCGGGAGAAGTTTACCAAAGAAAGTATTGACGACCATCAGCTGGCGGTTGCCCAGGGCACCAAGACAGACTTGTTACGCTGCGGCAAGTGCGGCAAGAGGAACTGCACCTACAACCAGGTCAGTGGCAGGTTATGGTTAAGTATCAGCAGGTCAGTGGCAACCTGGTTATTGTTAAGTGATCAGCAGGTCAGTGGCAACCTGGTTATGGCTGGGTGATGTGCGGGTCAATGTTTTGCTGTTAGTTGCTAGACTGATGTGCAAGTCGCTGTTGAGGTAGCACTAGCTTGGTTTACGACTTTTGAATAAATTAGTCCATCTATCAGTCTTCTGGTGTACAAAATACGAGGGAAACGAAAGATGGCAAGGTCAAAGTTAACCTACCGTATGCAAGTGGCTATTGACCAGATTACTTCTTCTGTAGTCGAGACTAGGTGGATGACAGATGTAAAGGACTTGTTGATAAGTTCAAGCACAATCAATTCCATATATAGAGAAGTTGTCAATAAGTTCAGTTGTAACGCGTTGTCACGTCCCAGCTTGGGCTAGGAAGGCAGTCTACGACAACAGTTCTCTTCTCTCTATGTGTGTTGAGGTATTTTGCCGCCCCTATCTTTAAAGACAATACGTTCAACTTCCTTAAGGATTTCATTTGGCCAAAGTGCCAAGATTCGAGAACGTTAATTTTTAATTTGTATTGAACATGAAATTGATCACCTTTCTTTTATTTTCAGTTGCAAACAAGAAGTTCTGATGAACCGATGACGACTTTTGTGCTCTGCAACGACTGCGGCAACCGCTGGAAGTTCTGCTAAAATAAATATCTGCAATTCTTAAGTCGACTGATCTCGACAAGAGATGATAATGGTGAACGTCTTTTAGGATAAGAGAGAAAATTACATTTGTATGAAAATATCAGATCTTAATTTTGCACGCTGCATTGGGTGACTGAACCATGCCCCTCTCAACGCCCCTCCCAGGTTCCAATAGCAGTGCATTGTAATGAGAACCTTGCCGCAGTCTATGTCTTTATAAGTCACAGTTTCTGTTCGTTAGATCTAGAATGCTATGTTTAATTGTTAGAGAATCTCGTGCAAAAACCTCTGGAAGAAATCTCAGGTTAGCGTACGAGTCCTTGCGTTGGTTACCGTCTCTGTGGCATGGGTCGTATTATGTTGTTAGTTTTTCTCTATGGATTTTTTATGTTGTACTCCGGTCGGCACGACGAGTGTCGCGAGTGCTGTTAACGAACATTTTTATAAATGTTTGACTATTTAATTTTTTGTTATGACCAAAAATTCTGGGGTTCATGCTCCGTAAATTAACGCAGCGAGTGCTGTTAACGAACATTTTTATAAATGTTTGACTATTTAATTTTTTGTTATGACCACAAATTCTGGGGTTCATGCTCCGTAAATTAACGCGATGAATTTTTCTAGTTCGATTTTGCCCTGATTTTCGCATTACTTTTTGTTTCTTAACTTTCGTTCGACGCTCTCCGTGGCAACGTTAGGGAATCAGCTAGGTACTTTTCTTCTCTAATTTCACGTTACTTTGTCTGGCTTTGAGCACACTTTTGAGTTCCCTTCATGTACTTTTAAATGATTCATCTTTCATTCTTATATATCCTATATTTTCATATCCTCATCCGCGCCTACCTTGGACAGTAACTGCAGTTGTTGACATCTGCGTGCAATGCACCTAACGCCTACCTCGGCCAGTGATAAATATGAACTCAGCTTCTTCTAAATGTCGACTTCTGTCCCAAGAAATACATGCAATCCACCCTGCATATTAGGTCCAATCTTCCTGCCTCTGCGACAGAAAACCATGGAGCACATTAGTGGCGATAGCATCAATGCTGTTTTACTTACTGTATGTTGTACTCGTGTACTTATGTTTTGTTGTACTCCTGATTACGTCAGAACTTAACCCATTTTTCACATTGATTTTTGTTCTTACCGAGCCATAAATTATGTCATTCATTATGTTGCTCATTATCTCCCGCGGGTATTTGGTTTACGACGATCGTCCTGTATTGTTTTTATCCTGTTAGCGATTAGAAATTTCTGTTGTTAGCATTGCAAGTGGTAATTGTGTCTTATTTAAAGCACCTCAGGTTGAGATGTTGACTGTGTGCAACATGGTATACTACAATTAATCGGCCTTGAATAGTTCGAGAATTAGGAATTAATGTACGAGATAAATTGGCTTGGAATAAATTCCTTGGATAAATTGGCTTGGAGCATGGAAAGGCGCACATGAAGGGCATCTATTTGTCAACTGGTACTGAACTTACGTGCTAGGCCTGCAGCTACGAGTAACATTAATGACGATTAATGTTCTCAGAGACTTGATATAACTTTAATGTGCTACCTTATGCTACGAAAATTCAGAACTTGAGTTTAAAAATATAAATGTATTTTTTTTTAAAATGTGTTTAGTATAAAATTTAACTCGTACTGGTTTCTGAACGGCATGATCGCATTAAAATGTTGTATTTTCTGGTGGCTCTTGCTAGTATAGTGGAGTTATACAATATAAACATAGCGATCATTTTCTATTTAAAAGTTTAGATTATTCTTATAAGAACCATAAATATAAAGTATGAGTGTACGAAGTGTCTGCTACATGGATTACCTGAAATTATGAACGTTGTTATTGTGCCGCAATTAAAGTGAAGGTTCTGCGACGTCTTAACTGCTGCACGGAAGATGGGCATTATTCATCAAAGCTAGCAGACTGTGCCCATCATTGGGCTGAATTTTTAATTATGTTCTCGAGTAGTAAAATTGCACGTGTTACTCTTGCGGTATACACTGTAATAGTTTTCCTTAAGTCGGGGGTAGTTTTCTCTTAATTTTATAATTGGGTGTTCGTCTTGGAAACGTCCATTGTCTTTAATATCTTTGACTTGGATGTAATCGTGTTCTGATGATATTTAAGCAACTAATTTTTATTTTTTGACTAGAAAAATCCGCCCGTTAAGTCATCACTTTTTTTTCGGAACGCAGGGCCTCTTAACTTATTACCCAAGGACGGTAACTTATAAATATGCTGATCCATAAATATACTGATCCTTTGCAGACGAACAGCAATTCTGACTTTCAGTGTGTCCGTTGGAGTTTCAAAATGGTTGTTGTTGGCAGAGATCTTAACTCACGAATGGCCGAAATTTTGTTTTAAGAGCGTGTAAATCTTGGGCCCTAACATGCTCATGTCTTGCGTCGAGATTACCGCGTCGCTGCTCTACATCAGTCAAACTTGTTCTTGTGTCCAAGACGGGGAGGGAGGAGACGGCGTGTCAACTTGATGATTAATCGTGATGATATTGTTGGAGGCTACTGATTTTTTTGTAAGAAGGAAGTAATCATTGAACTCCAGAGCCAAATCTGCATCGCTACATGCATCTTTTTTGTTTTCTATTGCAGAACTGTTGTTGTTCCATAGATATACAGATACATGCTGGCCTGTCGTTGGTTGTAGCTCTTCTCAATAGTTATTTGTTCTTCGTTGGAATGCTAAGTATCAACTCGCGTCGGAGGAAAGGCATAGGTTTACGTCAATAATAGCTCCTGAGGGAGCCGAGTGTTAATTTTACATAATTGAACTCATTTGAAGCGTCATCGCGTGGTGTCTGATCTGTGTATATATTCTATGTGCCGACCTAGTACGTGTTAACTAACAAGTCTCGTACCACGAGAGCACGTGTCTCCACTTCATAATAATGATGTGCATAAGTTAGTAGTAAAGATTTAGTTCGTAACAGTTGCTGCCATTATTTGCATTTCCAGAATTGCGTGGGATCGCTTCGTGTGTGTTTGGGTTTAAAACTAATCGTGTTTTGTTGTTAATTTTCTACTGAACTTCCGAGCTCTCTTGTGCCAGTCTCGAGGCGCCCCTCTAACGCGAATGTTTTTCGTCAATATAAGCAAAATATCGGTGAACGTGCGACGGAAAGTCCATGAAAATGTTATGAATCCACGTACGTAAAGCACGGGAGTATAAAAGTAGTGAATGAGTACAGAGGAATTTTCCGGAAGATGTCATGGAATTAATTCTATCGAAGCTTTCTTCATTTTTTTTTCGATTTTCCATAGTGCCTGTAAACTGATAGCTCGCCGCTTGTGTGTCTGATGCCATCATGATCGACTGTTCTCACGGATCGCACTATCGCCTTTTAGGGATCGCTCTAGGATAGTTCTTACTCAGATTATTTCAACTTATTAACATTTGGTTATACCCACCGAATACAAATGCATCGATTTATGCGAAAATATTCTCAACATGAACGAGCTACGTATTGTATCATTGCTATCAATACGTGGGTTAAATCTATAATTTATAGTGACGTCAAATGTTGACGAGCGTCCCGTGCCCACGACGCTTGTTAATTCTGGATTGACTTGCTACTGAAGAAATTAGGAATCTAACTCGGTCTCTTGAACGATTACTGGATACGATTCGTTTCCCAAGACTATGAGCGACTACTCATTTTGAGACATGGTTGTATTTCTCTAGAGCGATTACTCATCGTGAAACATGGTTGTACTTCTTTGAGGCACGAGTAAAATAAACCTGATCTTAACGCTTCACCTGCCACCAGTGTCCGAACGTGTCACATCAGACGCGCCCACAGCAGAGGTACCGTGGGCGGCAGGAAGGCATGCGTGTGGCCGTAGGTCGTTTCGGGACGTCCCTTCTTCATATATCGTCGTGAAATATTTATATAATTAACTTATTATACCGCAGTAGAAATGATACGAGTAGAAGACGAATTATCTATCTTTTAGAGCGTACTCATGAATACTATCATTTAGAGCGTACGGAGTCGGTCGACTCACGGGTCGACCGACTCAGCTGGCTAGAAGCGTGACTGAAATCCTCCCAGAAGTATCGAAAAATATTCACTGCCAATTTTTCTATTCCGGAGATGATAGCTTGCCATAATTGCTGATTATTTTCTTGAAGAAATGTATCTCAATTCTGCATTACAAATGTTCGTGAACATCACACGCCAGAATTATCTGTAAATTACTTTAATGCTACGACGAAATTATCAGTTCTACGAATTGCCTCCAGATGTAAATATTCTTGTGTTGACATTCTAGCGTCTCATAAGGCGCATGATAAATTGCTAGAGAACCTTGCCTGTTGGTTGGCCTATATGTAGTTTTAAGTATATAAGTAAGAAAAGTTTTGTCTGGCGTTTTCAAATATCCTTTATAAGTTTATAGGGACGGAATTATGGACGAGAGATCCAACTGATGAATGTGGCCCGTTAATTACCACATTTGAAGTGCAGCCTGTTGCCTTGCTCGCAGAACTGTGTTGAGTACTGTAATAGCTCGAAGTGGTCAATGCTCAATTTAATTTCATTCGCCCACTTGTTGGTGTGGGAGCGCAGCCGTGCACCACCAATTTTGTGCACCAATAAGCCCTGAATCGAACGCCTTGGATCTCTCCGGACATCCACCAATCAGCCGTGAACCACTCGGCTTTGTCCTCCTCTGGCCTCGCATAGAACCTGCCGTGCACCACCAGCCCGCGGATCGAATCTGACTTCCGGGCATTGTTAAATTACGTAATTTTACGTTCACCGCATCTGAAGCAGCTTTCACACAGGGCGACAAATACCGCGCGCGTCAAGAATGCCGCGGCAGTATTTACCGCGCAATCTTTCACACGAGGCGGTTTTTAACGCTGGAATCTATGTCTTGCAGTGCTGTTCTTCCTGACTGGAAGAACAAGTGGTCCTGACTGTGTCTATTAATGGCTGCTCAGAATAAAGAAAAGAAGAACTTGCTGTATAAAAGACAGCAAAGGAAGAAAAGAAGGCGGTGCTGGATTCACAATATAGTAAATTTAAGGCCGCAAGAAGAATTTGCCACACTGTTTGGAGGGCAACGTTCACAAATTTGTCATTACAAAATTAATTCATTACTCATTATATTCATTAACAAGAAGAAATGAGTTTAATTATCTTTACCTCTTTTGGTAGCTGGAGCTGCATACACCCTCGCCGACCCACTGTCTGTAACCACAAGAGTTAGTGGCGTCGGCGTGAAAAACCGCCCAGTGTGAAAAATTATATTGAATACCATTGCAAGCTAAACTGTCGCGGCAAATCTACCGCCGCAGTTTTAGCAGGACACACGCGGGCGTCAGGCGTCAAATTCTACGCCGCTCTATTAGTAGCTGGAGCTGCATACACACTCCCCGATCCACTCACTGTCTGTACCACAAGAGTTAGTGGCGTCGGCGTGAAAAACCGCCCAGTGTGAAAAATTATATTGAATACCATTGTAAGCTAAACTGTCGCGGCAAATCTACCGCCCCAGTTTTAGCAGGACACACGCGGGCGTCAGGCGTCAAATTCTACGCCGCGTTAAAAGCCGTCGTGTGTGAACAGCAGTGCACATTTCGTATGTCCGCTAAGGTTTGGCGGTAAATACCGTCGGACGCTGGCGGTATTTACTGCTCCGTGTGAAAGGGGCCTGAGGTTAGGTTTCAGAGAGCATTGTTCTGTTCCAAAATTTACCGTCCTTCGACAAGTGGCCGTTCGACCGAGGTTTGGTTCGACCACGGCCTAGATACGGACGGCTTGAAGTGTTGAAGGCTACGTTCCGGAAGGCATGAATCATGATGGTCCATTACATCCAGGGCAGTTGTGGTCTTCGGCAGGCGACCCGTTGGTGTTTCTTGGCTGGCGGAAAATGTTTCCCTACAGAGTTTTCACAAGTGAAGAGCTAAAAGTTTCTATTTTGAATGGCTAAGTCTATGCAAAAGCTCGTCGAAGAGCTCCATATAAATAGAATGCTCTACAGTTAGCATCTTTCAACGTCATTTTTACGCAAGAACCGTACGAACTAGCAGGTGCCATCTTTCCGTGTGTCTCTGTGCCACTTTAATATAAAAACAATAAAGTGTACGAGATTCACGAATGGCCAACGAAGAGACACTGTGCCATCTTTTCGAAAACCTCGCAATGATCTTATTGATATCTGTCAGCAAGAAATATCGTGTCGAGTAAAGCGTATTGTTTATGCATCTACGTCATACGTGTTCATCAGTAAGCATCGTATGTACGCTGCATGAATTTATTGTTTACTAAGCTGCATAGACAAAGGAAATGATGTTCACTAGTAAACCATCTCTTTATTACTCACAAAAGTCGGCTCGCGCAACAATGGACGGGACGAAGCATAGAAACAACACGTATAGACTCAAAATTACTCATCATGGAACTAATATAAAATTCCACGACACAAAAAGGAAGTTTTTAGGGCCGTTTGCTGCGATAGCTTTTTGCTTGTACAGCAATTTAGTATATCAAATATCAGAGAACATTTAATCTCCGAGGAAGGCGCTTCGATGGCCCTTACACAGCAAGTTCATCGGTAGTTTCGACTCGACATGAACTCAAAGAGTCCTTCCCAGCCTGGCAATAGCACTGTACAAATCTTAGATATTTCTGCACCATAGCTCCTTAAGAGTCTACATTTATATATAGTATCTACGTTCATCTATACAGTCAATGGGGACGTGAACCTGGCAATTCTTAGTTGCATAAATAATTTCAATTTAATACGTTTGCACGATATTGATTTGCTGGCATAGCTAGAGATCACAGAGGTTCTAACCTAGACTAATGATATTCCTCATAATCATTAACATCGTGCAGTTCTTAACAACTTACTTAATTCGAGTTGTTGCAGTCCCGCCAACTTAAACGTTCATTTTAGACAATACAGAGGCCTCTTTTCAGAGCGATAATCGGACATTTTTATTTAATCCCCGGAGTAATTATGAAGTCTAACATACACCAACAATTGCTCGCACAACTAATTCATAAACCTCGTTTCTACACATGACGCCATTTTCCCCAATGTAGATAAGGCCACCACGAAACAACATAGCCTAGCGTCACACAAACCTGCGGTTCTCTAAGTTTTCCATCACGTCACCCACTTACATGCAATGGTGGGTGCATGTATATTTTTGATAAAACATCACTGCAGAAAAATCTTCAATGCTTGATATATATGACTAATATAAAACTCTCCATTGTGTCCAAAAGGATGATCCAACCCATGGAGCAAATTACCACCGGAAATTTTAGCCTCTGTATGGAGACCTCTTGCAACGTCGGGGCTTAGCTCGACCCGACGCGACAGCGACTCTGGAGCAACAGTACCGAACAAATGTTAGATGATTTTCGGCGACCAAAATTGACGGTCATTATCAGACTTCATTCATATTAGAAGCTCTTTAACCCTTCTCGGTTGCATAGCAACACTGACATAAGTTTGGTACCATTATAGTGTTGTAAAATTCTGCAGATTGACAAGGGTTACATGCGAAGAATGGCAACATATCAATATGAATTCTGCAAAGTGCTTGATAGTGTATCCAAAATGGGTTTCATATACGATAATATATTAAACATTTTGCTTAGATAACCCTTAAACTCCCGTAATAATATTTAAATTATCTCTCAATAACATCTAATATTATAGGATAACAATGATCAATCACCTAACTCAAACTGTCGTAGGTGTCTTATTTAATCGTGTTGTTATATGACATAAGTCCAACCCTACACGTCTAAGCAACCCCTAGTCTAACAACCCCTAGAACCCTTCGAACCTCAAGCACTCTTGAGAACCTCAATCTAAGCTTAGAAACCTCAACACCCTTAGAACCCACAGAATATTTAGGATTCTAGATCCCCCTCTACAGGATTCTAGAATCCTATAGAGCCCTTAATGTACTCAGAAACCATGAAAATATCTTTAAATGTCAGTTTCTGGCAACGTATCAAATATGAAGGCTCTCACCGCCACAGTTTGCTCTAATATGGAGATGGTGCGTAGAGTTTAAATTCATTTCCATGCTTCGGCAAATAAAGTTAAAGAACAGAAACTAATTAAAGTATAGCATCGATGAGAATTTATTAAAGAATTTGGAACGAGATTCTTTCTGTAATTTTTATTTACGTTCTAATTGCAGTATAAATACTCAAGATATGGGTACTTAGAATACTTTGATTCAAAGCGGCGCCGGTACATCCTAAGGATTCCATCTTCAAAATCGTATCAACCCACGAGTAGAAAAACCTACCGGCTTGTGTCTTGATCAGGAATCGTTGATGCTTTGTGGTCGGTATTTTTGTTCAGAATATTTTAGCCATGTAAAATCTTCCACGCTCTTTTCTACGGGCTATGCAGAACATTGATTGCTTTCTTGCGAACGTTGAGTGCAGATTCTGAGTAGTTTCTGATCTATGAGAAGCATCTTTTTACGAAGGATTGTCTTTTGCGTCCCGATGAAAACCATCATAATAAACCTCAACGAATTGTTGAATAAGTAAGTCAAATGTCTTCCAGCGTGAGGCTTTAATGTTCCAAAATTTTGCTGAATAACCATCCTTTAGAATTCTCAATGAACTTCAATTGTAGATTCGGATCATGGAAACGATCATTAAGCTATGTGTGTGGTACTGACGTATTAGAGATATCTATAAGTAATAGTATGCAGCTATATTAGTACAGTTATAAAAATACTAAGAAGATGCATTACATCTTCAAGATTTACGAACATCTTGGAAATTCTTCTTAGAAGATAAAAATCCTGATCTTGCGAGCCATCAGTTTAATTACTCAACGCAGTTCAAACCACACCTTTACCAGCCATGTATCACCCCACACAGAGCAAAACAGGCCTGAACCAGCTATGTATCACTCTGCACAGTACAATACAGACCTGCACCGTCTTAAACCATCCTATGCAGTCTAAATAGTCATCAAAATCTAAAACACCTTTATAAATAATTTAAAGATGGCTGTCATCGGCCAGAAACAAACCTAAATTGACAGTAAATCACCCTGTTCAACAAAAGCCAATGGTTATTGTATTCTCTCTGACCAGCGTCAGATATAAAAATCCTATAATTCTAAGGACACCTACATCAGCCATAAAATATTCTAAAGTGTAAACGAAGTCAGCATCAGTCATATAAACCATGCACCAGTTTTGAGGAAACCTGCATCATCCATTTGTCATCCTACAGATTCAAGAAGTCCAGAATCAGCGATGAACATCTTGCAGTGCTAAAAGTAGACCTGCATCAGCCATTCACCACTTTACAGTTCTCAACGCTACGAATGATAGGTTCGATCACGCGTTTCGAGAAACTGGAACAAGTTTTCACAAATTTTCCATCAACGGAGACCGCGGTGGGGTCGGGACCAGTGTACTTATGAATAAAGATTATCCAGGAATTTTCTGATGTGGATAAGTTCCGAGGGTTGGACAGCTCGCTTCAGGGCTTCAGGAAAAGCAGGATGCACGGCCAGTCGCTGGAATAGTAACTTGGCCCATTTCCTGCAATGATTGACAGGCATAAATACCACGCAGAGCAGACGACAGCCTCGTTTACTTGTCTCTTGCTGCTCCAATTGATTATTGGTTGCAATCAACCGGGATGAACACAGCGACCATCCAGTTTATTTGACGAGCAAATTTATGTATTAAGATGCGAGACAAGCGACGGTAATTTTTATTGATAAATAAATTACTGTCGTCCCCCAAAATGACGATCTAAATTGCCTATCAATCTGAATTACAGACCTCAATCTTGCAAAGCTTGATATATATATTAATTATTGCGAAATGCATCACAGCCGGCCAGCTTAAGTATCGATTTCAGTAACAAAAAATAGTGAATAAATGAAACACCGCAGACTGCTGTCCGCAAGTAGCGCTGCCAGCAACCAAAGATTCTAAATAAATAAAAGATCTTGGCCTGGTGACTTCAAGCATTAATAACATTAAATTAGGTTTATGAAAAAATAAAGCACTGTCCAGACCTGGTCTCCAGGCTGCCCTCCTGCGCCAGCTTGGCGCCGGCAAAGAGGAGTTTGTCTACGATGTCCTTCTGCGACGTGAGGGCTTTAGCGGCGCCCAGGCGCTCGACGCTGTACGCCAGCAGGCGAGCCAGTGTCGTCCTCGCCAGGGGGTTGCGGTGGCTGTAGCGACACATTCTTCAGTATCAGTGACTAGACTAACTACAGCATTCAATAGATAAGATTCCGAGTTTTCTAGACTGCTTACTACTTTAACTAGATATATGACCCGTGTTTTCTAGATAGACTAAAATTAGATAAATTATTCATATTTTCTATACAAAATACCGAGTTATTCGTTCGTTTTAGACTAAATACAACAATGCTCACCAGATCAGCTAATCTTGTTATCTATACTGAATACAACATTCACTAGATAAGTTTTCCGAATTTCTAGACTGCTTATATAGCCTACTACTTTAACCAAACATATGAACCGTGTTATCTTACAGATTGACTATAACTATAGATAACTTCTTCATCTTTTCTATACAAAATATCACGGTCGACAGAACAGTTATTCGTGTTTTCTAGACTGACTACCACCTTCATTGGACGTATACATAAGTTATTCGTTTATTTTAAACTAAATAGAACCATGTTCACCTAGACTGACTACCACGTTCATTGGACGTATACATAAGTTATTCGTTTATTTTAGACTAAATAGAACCATGTTCACCAGATCAGTTATTATTGTTATCTATACTGTCTACCATGTTCACTAGATAAGTTCTTCATGCTTTCTAGACTGTCCTCACTTGAGGCCCTCCTGTATGAGGACAGGGATGGCCTTGTTGTGGGGCATGGCCTCGACGAGGGCATCCAGAGCGTTGTTCGAGTCATCCTTTAAGAATTTGTTCGTATCCAGAGCTTTGTTCAGCAATAAATTTGTGATCTTGTCCAAGTCCTGAAAGATATTGAAAAGCATTCTTGGTTTTAATCACACGCGATATTTTTCATAGAAATTTACGAGTCAAGCGTCACGCGAGAAAATTTTTTTAATTAATTTAATTAAATTATCATCAATATTGAAAATACGACGTTAGAAAAAGATTCATATAACAGGAATTTAAGTATAAACAACGCCATGGACTTAAGTTTAAATATTGTTCATGTAAATGGTTCATGAAGTCTCGCATTTCGTGTCCAGCGTTTGCGCTTACAAGCAAGCAATACATGAAGGAATGGTCATAGATTTTGACACTCACAGCCTTCATGCCACGCTTGACGTAGTACGCGTTAGACACTCACAGCCTCCATGCCGCGCTTGACGTAATACGCGTTAGACACTCACAGCCCCCATGCCGTGCTTGACGTAATACGCGTTAAGGCCCGTTCACACTAGGGGCAACACACGAGATTCAAGTGCCTCAAAGCGCATGCAGAGGCGCTTTGCAGCCTCTGCATGCTCTTCTTGAGCGATTGACGAGCTAGCGATTGACAGGGGCCATGCCTCATGAAACACAAGCGCGGCACTTAGTAGATAGCTATTAAAGAATTGATATCACTTGTTTGCTTAAATCTCATTAACTGAGAACTTAAATTAAATTAAAAACTTACATTAATGAATTAAATAAATTCAATTCGTTCTGTGCTTTCAATGTATTAATTTGTGACTTCTGATTTGTGATTCTAAATTCTACGAACTGACGATGTAGCTGGTCTCCGAAACGTTTTCTATAAAGATATGAATTTTTGTGGACTATTCTTTGCTTTTAAATTCTTAGTTAGTACTAGTAGATAGATGTCTGTGGTCTACCTAATTAGGTTGATTGTGTACGCTGGTCCGGCACACCAAATGTCGACTAACACCACTCTCGTTTGGAGTCACTCTCTAGTAGAGAGCCTAATTGATCTTTATAGAGAAAATGAATGCCTATGGAGTGTTTGGTCAAAGAAGTACAAAAATCGAAATGCAAGGGAACAAGCTATGGTAAAATAGTTGGAGCTTTAAGAAACTTGTGTGTAGAAGTCACCATTGCTGAAGTTTACAAACCGAAACTATGGTGCTTTGAATCATTGATGTTCATCAATGACAGCGATGCTCTTCGTCAGTCTACGTCTACTCTCGATGAAGACATACAGATTTCAAATGATGTAAGTTACTTTTACATGACGTGTTAAGTTTCTGTGATTTTAGCTTCTCCTGTCAATTTATGCATTACCGTTTAGCGATTTGAAAGAATGATATAATATTGGTACGAATATTGTAACTTTTTATTTAGGTCAAGTGGCAACTACTGTTCAAAGCGCGCGGTCTCGAGCTATCGCTTACAAACGTAGTGTGAACTGTTGTGCGCTGTGAAGCACTGCAGCAAACGACTCAAAGCGCATGTCGTTGCCACTAGTGTGAACGGGCCTTTAGACTCTCACAGCCTCCATGCCGCGCTTGACGTAATACGCGTTAGACACTCACAGCCTCCATGCTGCGCTTGACGTAATACACGTTAGACACTCACAGCCTCAATGCCGCGCTTGACGTAATACGCGCTAGACAATCACAGCCTCCATGCCGCGCTTGACGTAATACGCTTTAGACACTCACAGCCTCCATGCCGCGCTTGACGTAATACGCTTTAGACACTCACAGCCTCCATGCCGCGCTTGACGTAATACGCTTTAGACACTCACAGCCTCCATGCCGCGCTTGACGTAATACGCTTTAGACACTCACAGCCTCCATGCCGCGCTTGACGTAATACGCTTTAGACACTCACAGCCTCCATGCCGCGCTTGACGTTGTCGAAGAGGTGCATGATGCTCTGTATGGCACAACGACACACTTGCGAGCGCAAGTTCCTGCCCTGCTTGATGAGAGCGAGGACGATCTCGTGCAGGGAGTTGCCGAGCACCTCAGGGTGGAATACTGCCAGCCGCGCCACGCCCTGGGTGCCTTCAAGCTGATCTTCCCTGCATTAATGCAAGAATCTAAGCATGCAGTGTGAAGAAGAACGAGGAGTGACACGCTGAAGAACTAATCATTCTCGGTTAAGGTCGTTTAGTTGACATTCTTTTTCAGGTTGAAAAAAAAATTGGTAATCTTTTTCAAATTGAAAAAATTTGTTAGCAATTTCAATGGAATATCATTATAGAACTGATACCAATTTCTCACCCAACTCAATTTTAAACTTGAACTATTTTACCACAGCTGATCGATCTAATAAGTGAAATTTACGACACAACTTATTTCTATGTTTGAATGACTCATGCTTTATTAATTTCATTGTAAACCATATTCTTCAAAATACTAGACTTCGCATGTAAGCAAAACTACAGGCGGATGTAACATCAGCACTTAATCTCGTTGTTCATTTAAACGTAGTTTGCCATTTCGTCTCAAAATACTGACGCCACCTAATCCTCATTGTATTTGCACCTTCCTAATCATGGCTTCTACCATACAAGGGATCACCGGGAAAACAAAACCGGTCAACTCCGGCTTTAAAATTATTGATCGTTTCATAAAAAAAAAATGATTTAAAGACAACGCACCACTCTGTGGCAGCGAGCTGTTCTTTGGTCTGCTGCAGCGCCGTGACGGGGTTGGCGAAGGGCTTCATGTCGCGAGAGAAGGTCGTGGATAAGGTCTTGTTGGTGCGCACGCACGCCGTCTCCAGCCGCGACATTTGCCCGTCCAGCTCGCTTCTGGAGGATAACAGGGCAATAATTGAATGTTTTTTTTATGATTATTCAATAATTAGTTATTGTATTTAAGCGGAATAAATGAATTTTCTCGTCAGAATAGTTAATGAATTTAAAATGATTCCATGATAAATTCCTTATAATTAAATAATACATCTTAAACTGAAAATAGGCTAAAAGTATTATTCTTAAATTTGGATAATTGAATAGTGAGTTCACTGTATGATAAATTAAATAAAATAAAGCAAACTAAATTATCAACGGGAATGCCCCTTTGCCCCAGAAATGTGACTTTATATGCCCCCTAAACTGACTGGTTTGAGGCCGGCGCTGACGCGGTGGTGCCGGTGCTCAGCGACGAGCCCAGGCCTGAGCGGTTGCCTCCTCCACGAGTCTGTCCCAGTTTCAGGCCTCCTTTGATCCTGCAAATAAATTTTTTTTACTATCGTGTAATTTATTTACGAAATTTAATGCTCTAAAGTAACCAGATATTCGAAAAATTGGTTATATGCTCGGACGATTGAGATTGATCGCATCGGTGATCCGAAAGTTTGCCTTAAATTCAACCGACACTTAGATGATTGAATTACTTTCCCTTCTAAAGTGTGTGCACAATGAGTCAAAAGATGCAGGCTTGAATATTGCAATTGATAGAATGGAATGTAAATACCTTCGGAAATTCAAGTGATCGAAATATTACTTTACATTACTCGTGCCTGAGCGATGCGGACCTCTATATATAGACTCATCATAGCATTTTTTTACTCATCGCCGCAAAAATGAAGAACACGTAAACGGATTGATAATGATGGAGAAATTTGAAGTTTATATTCGTAATGATATCACCTCGTTGCTTAAATGGAAAGTTAACTAGGAATTTAAATGCAAAGAAAATGTCACGCCGATTCACTATAATATACTGAAGGTACATATGGTGTCAAGGTACATCGAAACTTCAAAAATTACAGAATTTTCACACTGTCGAGTGAGCTGGACTTCGAAACGTTTTCAATAAAGATAAAGTGAATTTTCGGGACATTTCTATGCATTAAAATTTCATTCTTCTTCCTCTTTGAGTGACTCGTCGACTCCCAGAAGTCAAGATCGAATGCGCAGGACTAGTACCCTTCTTATCGAGACAATAGTACAAATTAAAGCATCGTCGATATAGATCATGAGGTAAGACATGGAAAATCTAATCATCACTGATTAGATTAGGTAAGTTTGCGCTGGTCCAATCGGCATTGATATGAAGAATGAGGTAAATCTCGCTAAATATAACGCGCATCAATTGAAAATTCGTGGAAACACCGGCAAGTCCGACTTGCGCCGATCTAAATGACAGGAAAAATATAACAAATCTGACTCGTCTCCGTTTAAGAACCGAGAGAAACACGACTTATGAGAAACTATTTCTATCTAATAACTATCTAGTGGCGTAAGCTGCTGCGATCGTTGGCAAGATACGTGATTAACTTGGAAAGTTTCCATCAAACACTGAAAGGAAAACGTGAGAAGTATAATTTGCTACGTAAAAAGCACTGTTTAGATACATGTTTGGTTTATATAGTTTTCATCGAGCAGTGCGGGCATAAATGACAACTCTAACCTGCTTCGGTCCAAGGACTGAGGCCTGCGTGGGGTGGCTTGGCCTCCCCCGCTCGCCTGCTTCGATAATCCCCTGTCGTGGCTCTTGCTCTTCGGTATCCTTGATACCCGGTCTTTGGCGCCAGTTAGGACGGGGTCTGAAGTCAAGAGTTTCGGCGGAACAGGACTGGAACGCGGACTTGGTCTAGGGCTTGGTCTAGGACTGGGTCTAGGACTTGGTCTGGGACTAGGACTGGGTCTTGGACTTAATCTAGGCGTTGGATTAGGACTAGGTTTGGACGACCCACTCCTAGTTGTGGGTCTAGTATTAGGCTTTAGGTTAGTGTTGGATGATATTTTTCTGGGACTGGAAAGTGCTGTGGCAGGTTTGCTGGGCGGCTGCAGGGAGCTTCCTACGAAGCTGTTCTTACGCGACTGCGCGTTCTCCGGCAGGTAATCTGTTTGAAAAAAAAATATCTGAAAAAATGATTGCGTGCAAGATTTGTTGGGAAAATTTCCTAACATGGCTTCTTTAAGAACGACGATGAAGAAGCAGTGCGCGCTCTTCTATATAAAACCGAGCCTCATCTCCCGTTACCAGCTTCCTTTTAACTCTAGCCTCGAGCTCCGACCAGTTCCACTGATTCTTATCCTCCATGGTTTTCAGATCGTTTCCTCCATCGTTAATTTTGCATTAAGTTCTAGTGCTCAATGTTTGATTACTTACTCTTAGTGTGAGGTGCTTTCATTGATCCCTTCTGATCAAGCCCTTGGAACCCGCCATGTTTAAATGATCATTCAATGAAATGAACTGAATATTTAAGTTAAGCATCGTAAGTTCTTGGTGGCAGAGAATCATATAAAACACGTGTTACTCGATTTCATTCTTTATCGTTATTAATGAATGCAAAACATTGTAATTTGACATCATTGAAAACATAATGTTCGAATCGGTCGTCAGCGTCGTAGTAACGAAGAATATTTTTCTTTCAGTATACCATTGCTTGCGCTTCACAAGGCCGCCGTCTTGCGTGCATGGACGCGCTATCCAAATTTGAATTAAAAGTACGATAAAACCTGCAACCTGAAAAAATAAAAGACGCAATGAATCAAGTACATCTAATTATATCTATGTCAATTGTTTCAATCCTTTTTAGCGTTCAGCATGAAATAATTTCAGTTCAGTTAGAGGTCTTCATCAGGGGTAGTGAAAAATTCCATACAGGTTTTAATTACATTGATAAAAAGATGAAATTTTCGATAATTCCTGCCAAAAATTGATTTCATTTCCTTGTATGATGCCGCAATATGTAATTCCCTTTAAAATCTTTTAATACATTTGAATTTTGAACGATGATAACAATGAATTCTCATCGGTGAATAATTATTCAACTTTTATTTACAAAATAACAATACTAGAATGATGCCTATAAGTCAATATCATTAAAACTAAACGTCAAAATAAAAAAAACTCTAACTTCGTTTGTCGCGTCGCGGCGTCTGCCGTTCATTTAATTCATTACTGTATTTACTGTTGCGGGAAGTAGAGCTTAGCTGCACTACTACATAAGCTGATTTGTCATGTCATATAATTCATGTCTATATAATCGAAGTTAATAACAGTTCTTCAATGCAAAGTAAAACTCAATTGTTTATTAATCTTGACAGAGTAAAGCAGGCTTTAGTTTCCGGCCTGTTAACTTTCGAATTTATAGACCAGGGAACATGATTCAAGACGCAAGCTCCTATGGGTCTTGTATATTGTTAATGCCATCCCATTTATTTGAGATAAAAATCAGGAGATACACTTACCTATTTGTTGCTAGAAGTTTTTTAAAAGCCAGTACTTTCATAATTTGGAGCATTGTCAAATTTGTATATCATTTGTACCGAGGTGCGGAATTTAGTCCTGCAGCTTTACGAGAAAAGAAGTGAGATAGATGAAAATTGAACGTTATTTCCTTTTCCATTGTTTCATATCTGGCTATTTGCTTGAAAAAATACAAAACATAAATTACATCGAATTAGCACACAGGCACTACGTAAATCACGCTTTACTGTGCAGCAGTCAATAAATTGAACAGAAAACTTAGGAACCATATCAGCTGGTAATTTTTTCGTAAGTTCACCGTAATTTCAAATAATTTTATCATATTTATTCCATTCAAAAGTAAGTAAACGAGCCCCGATCGAGCACGTAAAACTTGCTGCTCCAAAAATCTCTGTGCGTCTGACCGCTGAGTGCATAGAAATGACCTTCCTACTTAACGATTTTAATTTAAATATAGAAAAGGCGACCTTTTGTTGGAACTGAAATCCATTCCAAGGATAATTTCCTCATGAATTGAGCCAGATTTACGAATGCCAAGACCGGGTCACGAGATTCGCGTGCTGATGGACCAGGCGGTGATGTCCCAGAAATCAATGCAGCTAGCGGTGTCATGGATACAAGCCTTCAGACGCTGCTCGCCCTACTTTTCATTTGTTTCCATGTACAAAATTCATGAAATAAACAAGAGTAAATGCCGCAACAGACAAAATTCCAATGCGGCTTTCAGAAGTCAATGATTTGGTCTTTGATTTGATTAGTGAAATGAGGTACATCTTGTGACGAGCCCGGCTTAATGTTGAGTGGGAATGGTTTATTTACATGTACGTAGCACGGACATATATTATTAAAATTATACAGAAACATAAATAAAACCCTAATATTAATTTATCTATAACAAGGGTGTGCATGGCAGTGGCTGTGCAGAGTGTGGCGGTGGTTGTGTACTGTGTGGGGCAGTAGCTCTGTACAATGTGTGTGGCAGTAGCTGTGTTCTGTATAGATGACACTGGGAGTGAACTGTGTGTGTAGTAGTAGCTGTTTACTCAGCTAGGTGGTGACGTTAGATTAGGGGTGATTCAAGAAAAATAGATAGGTGTGGTAATTCAAGTTATTAGATGGTTGGTGATTGATTAATTGTTAGATTGGTGATGATTAATTACTTTTAGGTTGGTGGTGACTAACCACTCTCTACACTCGCGTAGATTTATCGGAGAAGTGATCATACGGTGCTACGCAGAAGTAAATATATATATTCGTAAACATTTTTTCTATTTCGCCTTTGTTCGCGAGTTATACGCCTAAACAGAGAATCGACCGGAATTCCTGTGGCTGATACGACCACTATAAATGTAATAAATTACAAATTTACTAATTTACTGATGAAAATAAATTGAAATTCAAAAATTTCGTTGAACTGACTGCTGTACAAATCGGTTCATTGTAAATTTTTTACTAAATAGTAATAAACGGATTTTAAGGCCTGTCTCATGATTATTTGACTTTAGCATCAACTCGTTACTTCAATTTTTAGGCATCAACGTGCCTGCCCACCAGACATTTAACGTTAAATCAAATGTTGTTTGGCTAAATGAACGTAAATTGAACGTTTTTAGTGTTATTTTCTTGGGGGAATATACTCACTGGGGAGCGGCGGCTCGTCAACTGCGCCGTCCGTCTTGCCGAACTGCATCTGCAGCTCCCGGAACTTGCGTTCCCGCATCTCCTTGGCCACCCTCGTCTCCCTGGACCCTGTCTTGACTCTCGGGTACTCCAGGTCCACCGGCCTGGACGGGCGCTTGACAGACATCCTGCTGAAGCGCAGGGTGTCCGAGAGCTGGCCGCCCTTCAGGTCTTCGAGGGTGGGGATGTCGTCGAGCTCTCCAGCAGCACGCGCTGCTGCTAGACGTCGCTCGATGCTGCGCATGGTCTCCTCCTTCTTCTTGAGGAGGTTGAGGCGCGTCAGGGTGTTGTACGACAGCGGCAACTGCCGGGACTCCTGCGTATGTCAGGATAATATAATCGAGAAACGATTTTAATTCCCTCATGACTCTTGCACGTATAAACTTTATATATTTCAGAGGAAATTATTAATTATTTACAAATAATGATTCATTTAGATGTGTAGTTAATGCATATTATTCAAAGTAGTAAGTTGATTGGAAATTCGCCTATTGTTAAAGCTATTATTCCAATCATTGTTATTACATGGATACTCGATTAAACATGGAGACTACAATCGTATTTTTAAAACTAATATTGAATATTGTAAGGAATTTGTTATGACAAAATAGCGAGTATCTCGGCATTACGGTAGCAACTGTACTGCGGATAGGAGCTTGCTAGGACCTATAGTTATTATATGCGTTAGGGTTGTTGAATCCAAACTCCCATCCTCGTCTGGCGTCTCCCTCTGATCCATATCTTATGTGTACATATAGGGTTTGCTGCTACCTTAGTAAAGTACATTATGGCATCGCGTGATCTGTTACCTATAGATTTATCATAGCTGACGTGGAAAAGCAACCGAAAAGTTTTACCAATGAAAATAATTGAATGGACTTGATGAAATCCGTATTCTTCTATTACACTGAATGCCATATGAACATCAATAATATTTTTTAGCCATCATGACGCGCTCATTGATGACCTTTCACTTACAATATTCCATGTTCGGGTCTCACCTCGTACTCGTTCTCACTGTCATTGTTGTAGAATTGGTTCGTGCCTGGACCTGCGCATTAAAAATTTTTAAATCATAATTTTGTTGCTGATAAAAATATTAGGGATTATTTTTCAGAACAATTTTCAATTTTTACTTCAAGCGTTCATCACGATGTCGTTTTCACAGCCAAACCTGATAGTATATTGGACATTTTTCTAATTTATTTAATACAACGTTTGTCACTGGTTCCACTGTTGCAACATTGGATAGTTTAACCCACAAATAATATTGAAGTGAATTCTGTGATGTGCCTTTGAATTTCAAAGAATTTACGGTAGAAAGATTTTCAACACAGAACTTCTTATTATTTGGGTGCAGGGGAGGCAAAAGGAACGAAGAAGCAAGCAAATATTCAAGACCAATCGGTTGAAATGCAGTAAAATCTACCCTTATCATAAAGTGAAGCCTGTAATAAGTAAGATCATTTCAGACACTGGGCTGATGATAAAAAATTGGACTTTGAGTTCTTGTTACAAAGTTTGCTTTATAGGCTGGAAAGTCCGATATAAATAAGCTGTGCGCACAAACAGCGATGTTTGCACACAAATCTTAGGCAAAGAGTGTTCGAGTGCCGGGATGGAAGATAAGAAGATTATAATAAGATAGATTATAAGAGTGCAGTACATGGACGGTATATTATAATAAGATAGATTATAAGTTTACAAGGCAACGCACCGTGTAAGACGCCTCGAACATGGCTGCTGGGCAGGGAGTGCGTCGACGGAGAGCTGCCCTGACGCAGGCTCGAGAAGTCGTACGAGCTTCTCCTGCACCGCGGATAAAACAATACGTCTTTAAAATCTCATTCATTATTCATTTACATCTAAAGACAGTGATCTGCAGCTAAATTTCATAAGATAAATAGTGAGCCGTCGTAAATGTAAGTAAAACGAATTGGTTAGAGAAAAACTTCAGTAAGATTTCACTTGATGCAGAATTGAAGTAATTGATATCCCTTAATGTAATTGATATCTTAATAATACATCAGTTAATACAAAATTAATGCAGGCGCCCAACTGAAGGAAGAATACATAATATAACATAACATAGTTTAATATCGGCGCTGAAGAGTAGGCCTGATGTGGCCTGCCGCCGATTCTTGTTACTTTCGTGACTTGTTCATAGATCTAAAATCGTGTCATTTGACCGGATTTTTTCAAGACTGACGATAGTTTGAAGTAGCTACTAGACTTCCACCGGGTTCGATATGGTGCTAGGCCTTTCAAGTCTTACCATATATTTTCCATAGCTTTATCTAGTCTGTTCTTGAACGCGTTCATACTCGGAGCGCCAGCAATATATACTACGCAATAATGAACATTGCCGTAAATTCTTCGGTAATTGAGCCTGACATCGTAGCACGAAAATAGTAGCTTTAACACATGGCCAAGGCCACGAGCCTGCACTGTTTAAAGATAATTTAAAATTTACTCCTTATTGTCTGGATATTTCTTACATTCTGTATTTAACTTGGATTGTGTGTTTCCATACTATTCACTACCCGTACATTATATATGTTTCCGGAAACTGTATGTTTTGCAGATACGGGAAGTTCTCGTTCACATTAAATAAAATGTGGAGTATAGATCGACAAGGAAACTAAGTTGTCCTATCGGAAGACGTGATGTTTGTATCTATTGTAGATGCTATCTTTTATATAATGATAGCCATAGCGGTATAAAAATGCTGCATTACATTGCCACTATCACCGTTATTCATAAATAATTGAAACTTTCTCCATTATTTATCAGTTTTTAATGTAACTCAAAATGGTTTTCATTAACACTGCAACATAAAGCCCAACGCCTGCATTATCGACACATCAATATAACGCCAATGATTGCCATAATCGTCTCTGCAATGTAACGTCAATGATTGTCATCGCCATCGCTGCCATACAACACAATTAATGATCGCCGTCATCGCCTCTCTAATATCCTCCATCACGAATGCTTCAATAACGTTAATGACCGCCATCACCACCGATCGCATAATGTGAAAATTACTTCATCACATCCTCATCAATACAACGCCAGCGCTACACCCCCACTACCGTATACACCTCATCAATACAACGCCAGCGCTACACCCCCACTACCATAACCTCGGATGTTATCGCGATATCGACAGCGCCCGCATGCCATCGCGCGAGCCGCCACCACGATATTGCCACAAACCGCTGTTGTTTTCACGATGTTTCGCCACCCAATAACTCTAGTCTGTTTGTTTGACATATGAATTGGGCGTACAATTTTGGTGTTATCCATAATATAGCTCAATGCTAGGTTTCTTCCTCAATGAATATTAAAGCCGATATCATTTACAAATTTCGATACAAAATTTATACAGATGAACAAACGGACACGGATAAACGCTCTTTTAATTTATTCACAGTCGATTTGCAGGTGAAGGAATAGAATTAGTTTATGCAGCTCAATATCAAAAGGTTTAGTTAGAGGTTACGGAAGTTTCTCTAAACTAAAGGCCTGTAAAATAAGAATGTTCAACTTTTTAATATGATATACATTCAGTTTGCCATAACTGGAAATTTATAGTCTGTGCTCTGCAGTCCTGAATGTGACCTCAGTCCTTAATTCTTTTGGTGTTACTTGCACCAGAAGATGTCAAACGAAACATATGGAAAATACCGACAACCTATTGATAAAATGAAGCTTAACGCATTATTTTCCCTCTATTTTGTTGATGGTTTGCTCACCTTGGAGGCCCAATTTCGACAACTGGAGTGGAGGTCCGGTTGCCCATTGCTGAGTGCGGATCTCATGAGCTTCTGATTTTGTTTATCCAGTTTAAACTTGGATCGCCGCGCATCATTCAATGCGAACTCATTAAGGTATTATGATTCAAACACTTATTTCTATCAGAAACTTTTTCACCATTTTGTTCGCCTCTATTCAACTCTTCAAATATATTAATAATTTAGTGTATTTCACAGTCAGTATCAATAGGCGTAGCTTTAATTCGAATTACCCTATATACGGCGCACTTCTACTTCACGGTACAGTGCTACTTCCCGATGCAGTACTATTTCATTGTGCACTGCAAAACTGCTACTTAATTGCACAAGCCTTATTATTTCACCACAATCAATAATCCACGATAAGCCAGAATCCACTCATGCCTTGTGGAAGATTGTACAGGAACCTGTAACGCTGACAAATTTACTATGTGTGAGGCTAGGTATAATTGCCTTTTTATCCCAATGGCAATGGTGTAATAGTCACCATTTTGGCTAAATTCACAACTAACCCCCTCCATATATTCAACAAGCCTTTGAGCGGCTATATTTCCAAAGCTTGTTTGTAATTGTTTAAAAATATGTCTGTTATGCAATCCATTTAGGTACAAATTGGCCTCCCACCTACTTAATTATGTTCTAAGAACACTTATAATTTGAATTTTTATTTCCTAGTTTCTGGAAATTTGGCTAAAAATCCCAAATCGCTCGTGGCATCGAACGTTCACCAATGCATGCAAAGCTGTCGGCCATGCGGTCAATCATTCCTTCATGGCAGACATTCACTTCAGCTAAAATTTGCAATCGTGAATGATGTCGAGCGCAAAATTTACTGCCGATCATAACCACATCCACGACATCAATATGATAAATGCTGCTCATCGCCATTTATCAGCGTCAAGACTAAAAAAAAAATCAGTAATCTTATATCTTAATGTCCCGGGAACATATTTCTGGCTTAAGGGCAGCGCTCAGCTAAGAGCTTATCAAGACAATCTGCTGGAATTACCGCGTCGATTTTTAGTGTTCGCTGTCAGCATCGAAGTTGCTATCAATCGGGCGACACATGCGATAATTTTCACGCAATGCTGCAGGGTTGAGCTGATCTTTACCGAGCAGACAGTTACGTCGATGGCCTGGATTGAACTACAATTATCCAGTGACGAAATCAAGCTACATATCAACACTTGCCAAGGTCAGACATCGACATTCTTCGACGTACGTGAAGTTTGTGGTCTGCACTGCAGAGTGTTTGTGTAGCCTTAATTAATTATGGTCTGCAATGCAGAGTGTTTATGTAGCCTTAATTAATTATGGTCTGCACTGCAGAGTGTTTGTGTAGCCTTAATTAATTATGGATTTGTGTAGCCTTAATTAATTAAGTTCGTGTCATAAGGTTCAGATACTTCAGTTGCCGCGCACATACCAAGACAAAGTTAAGGTGTTGAAAACCAAGTATTCGGATGCAAAATGCTGCAAATTAATTATATATCATATTTGTGATGCAAGTTCTTATTACTTCACTTCATTTAGCATCTGTTCACTAAAAAAGTTCACCAAACACTTAATGACCTCCTCCTATACTCGTCTGGCGTCGTTGACGGTCTCGATTCTACCTCACAGCAAGACTCAGCTAGCAGTCCGCAACTTCTATCAATATTATTCAGTCTCAATTCCACTCCACCGATAAGATGTCACTATTTGGCATGGAGTGTCATATCGCCTCGTTCAGCTGCGCCCAACATGCAAACAGATCCATTCAGCTTGTGGGGTTGAGGGCCACGCATATGGGTTAACTCCGAGCGTAATTTCCTTCGTTGTGTGAGATTTCCTGATTGAGCCGAATATTATTTTTACATTTTATACAATATTTTTGTTCAATATTTTTGTCATCTTTGTATCGGGCGCCATCCAGTGTGCACTTCTTTGCTGTACCCTCCAAGAATGTGAATGTTGCTTGCAATGGACTTCCAGGACCGGCCTGGTTTACAGTGCATCATTAAAAAAATTAGAGGTAACTATTGATGTCCAAACGTCGAAAGAGAAGTTTACTTTCGATTGTAGCTTCAAGATCAAGTTGAAATTAATTGATTCACTCTTCAATAAATGTTGTGTTACTTTAAATATATTTAAGATTTTTAGTTTACTGTGTTCCACGAATTTCAGGATAAAGACCGCAATTACTTTTCATGAATAGAAAAAACATTTTATTGCATGGACGTGAAGTTTGTTTGGAATATTCAGTTTAAAGTGGGCAGAACATGGCATGAAGCTCCTGAGGCGTCACCAGGTTTCTAGGACAGAAAGGCTGAGCCTCCAGAGATTTATGATTAATTTAAAATTAATATAATGACTGGTTCTACAATTATTCATTTAAACTTATATTTAGGCCACATCCCGTTGAATTTGTCGGCAATCGTTTGTACAAATAATAATAATTTTGAATAAAAAAATGCTCAAACAGCATGAAAAATGGGAATAAAAGAGGAAATTATTTACATCAAGCATATTGTAGGGGGGCTTGAACCTCTCTGCACAAGGCCTGACGACACCACCTGCATGGGTGATTTGAGCCATTTTTCCACCAGGTGGGTTGACATCACACTACTCACACACAAGATATCCTCAGGTAATTCAGCTTTTTATTTACGTCGCCCTAACTTGTGAAGGTACAAAAATCTAGTCAAGAGGTCAATAACAACTATACGGAGAAGTGGTCCCAGCCTGCCATCGTATTGTGCCGCATGAGAGGTTGTCAAGGGTTTACGTGGCATGAAGCTGAGACAGAAGTGTGCAGTCCACGGTCTCTGCTCTAATGGAAATTTCACTTCGTTAGAGCTTCAGAAAGTTTTTGTGTAGGGAAACCAGGGAACTGAATTGGCAGAAGACTACGGTGAATAATAATTAGTTGATATATAATTAGTTTTTCAATTAGTGCAACAATTCAGCTATCATAAAATATTAAAATGATAGTAAACACAATTAACGTCCGTATCCAGCATTGATTATGCT